CAGAAAGGAACCCAAGGGCCCCACCACACGTTGGGGATGATACCGGCTCCCTGCCTGGGCGGGCAGCACCGGTCACATGAGGCCCTTTCAGAAGTTGCCAGTTGACTGGTTCAAAGGACTCTCCACTCCTGGAGGGAAAGGAGGGCAGGAGATGGTGTGCGGTTTGGCAGGAGTGTCACAGGAGGGGAGTCTGGCAGAGAGAAGGAGCTGGGAGGGCCCCTCGTGCTGGCACCACCCACCACCGCCCCTGACTGGTTTCCTTGCTGCAGGTCTCAACTCTCTCTCCCAGCCAGTATCCCGAGGGCCCTTTTCACCATGTCATTCCCTGGCTCAGACACCTCTGCCACTGTGAAGGCCCAAGTCCCACCTCCTCAGCCAGGCCCTCAGTACTCTCTGCCCTCATTCATCCATTCATTCAACATTTACAAAGTTCCAGCCTGGCCCTGTACTAGGACCACGAAAATAAAGAGGAATGAGATTTGGTTTCACCTTCAAGGCACTTAAAGTATGGTCTGGGAGACAGGAAGATAAACGGAGGAATGTTCTCACTCTTCCCCTAAAAATTCCCTTCGGTTCCAGCCAGACTGCCCAGAATCCCATGAACACCCACTGAATTCCCACCTCTGTCGTCTCTACTCCATCTGCTCCTTCCTTTCCAGGAACTGAAAAGCAGCCCACGCTGCAAGGGCTGGCCTCAGCCTCCCTCCTTCTAGAGCCTTCCCTGCAGCTTCTAGTCAAGCAGGGCCTCTTCATCTGGCCTCCTCTAGCACCTCTGTAATAGCGGTAGCACTCACGGTCCCCTCACCAGCCACTGCCTGTGTCCTGTACCCTCGCATCGATATTTAGTTGCTGATAATGCCCGCAAGACCTTGGTTAACAGTAACAATGATCATAACTGATCCCTGACATTTGACGAGTGCTTCACCAAGTGCTTCCAGATTTCACTGTGGCCAGACCTCTTCTTGCCTGTGTGCTGTCTCCCCAGCTAGATTCCGGGCTTCTGTGGGCAGGAAAAGGCGGACTGAACAGGTCTCTAAAATGCCTGGCATGGTGCTTTGTAGTGAATCCTTAATTAATTAGTTTAACAGGTGAGGACACAGTAGAGGACATTAAGGCATCAGCTGCGCACTGGTACACGACCCCCATCTGGGTGGGCACAGCTGCACAGGAAAGGCTTGTTCGGGGGGTACGCATTGAGCTCAAGGCCACCTGCTGACTAGAAAGAAGAAGGGCCTCCCTGGGAGGTCTCTTCACTGCTCCCTGGCAGGCCCTTCTCTGGAATGTCAGTCAGGCTGACAGTAAATGGCATAAACAGTAAATCACAAAAGTGCCAGCCTAGGTGATATTATCCACATGATCCAAGAATCTGAACTCTGTCTTGGCAATAATTGGTGAAATGCCTCATTTTCCCCATTCACAAAAGTAGCTCTGGGAAAGGTGCCTAGATCAAGGTCCAGCATGGTATGAGAATGTGTCTCAGACAAAGAGCAGTGGGAGAGAAGTGATGATGTGTATTCTTCACCTTGGAGCCTCCAGCACTGATCCCAGCTACAGGACACACGCATTTTTTCCGAATGGACAAATTACTGAATATGATTTGGTAGTACCCATTTTCTTGGCTCCTTAATTTGTCTCCTGGCTGCCCTTTCCAACTCCATGGGAAACTTTCTGTATCACTGAAGGGAAAGTTTTTCTTGACCATCCAACTCTTTCCCTAAGTCTTAGTTAATGCTGAAAAAACATGCCCAAGACGATGTAGAATCTCACAAGCGCCTAGGTGAGCTTCAAAAAGAATGCCCAGTGGGCAGATTTTAAAAGGCTGGTGTGAAGAAAGACAGGTTTCTTTCTTTTCCAGAAAATCCAAACTCCTAAACAGTCCACTGCATCCTGGCAAAAGGTGGACCCAACCCTCAGAAGCAAAGAGAGAACCTGCTCGGGTTTTAGGTCAATACACCAAGGGCCTTGAGGAGGTGGCGTGGGGAGTGTGCCACAGAGAGACTCCCACTCGGTTTGCTGATTCATCTCTGCCTCCAAAGTGGTTGGCCCCAGGGGGACTCTGAGCAAGTCCCTGTGACCTGTGTGGGGAAACTGCACATTTGTCTATCTAGCAGGAAGGAGGTGTCTAAGAAGGGAGAAGACGAGGTGGAAGAGACATGAGAAGGGCTGGTGATTAGCCATGTGGGGGCAAGGGACTTAAGGAAAACATAAGCCTTAGAAGGGTCACCTTCTGAAACATCAGTTCCCTCATTTCCCACGTGTCTGTGGGAAAGGGGGACACGTCTCCTAGGGGAGGCTAGCTCCCCTAACAACACTGAGCTGGAGTCCAAGAGCTTCTGAATGGGGTGGGTGAATAAAGTGCTCCAGGGAAAAACATAGGCCACTCCTAGGACTTGAAATGTGGCCAGGACACAGGGTGCAAACTACTGCTCATCAGGCAAAGTCTGGGGACCGCCCCCCAGCAGCCCACAGCCCTCTGAAATAGCTCAGCAGCTCCTGGCACCAACTCCATCTAAAAAATAGCCACGGGAAGTTTCCTTAAGTGCTAACCTCCTGCCTTTTGTCCCCAAGCCTGCAACCTGTCCCCATATCCCATCAGGTTCCTCAGCCCCTCCCTTGCTCACTCCCAGGCCTTTCCCCAATGCCTCCTCTGCCCTGAGCCTTCCCTAGAGGCATGCAGCCCTCCCTGGGCTTCCAGTACCCCGCCCATCCCTCTGAGATATCTCTCATCCCAGCAGTGGCCCAGCCCACGCTCCAGAACTCTTAGGAGCCTGCCTCACCGCCCCCCTGAGAAAGAAGGATGTTATCTGTTCCCTCACCCTAGGTCCCTTGAAGATAGTGAAGCAAAGAGAGGATGAGACCCTGCGAGCTCAAGGACAATGACAACAGTAACACCTAGCATCACCTGTGTCCAAGTTTGTGCTACGTGCTCTTACAAACATGATCTCATTCAACCCTTACAACACCTCAGGAGGTAGGGACCGTTATCACTCCCATCCTACAGATGAGAAGCACCAAGCTCAGAAGCTTAAGTGGTATTCAAGGTCACATTGTCCCAAAGCGAGGTCTCCAGGTCCATGTGACAACAAAGCCGGCCTCTTCACCACTAGGCTCTGTGCCTCCTGGCTCTACCTGCTCCCTCGTCTCTCTTGGCAAGGAACGTGTGTTGGGAGGGTCGGGGTGGAAGCTTCAAGTGAGAGCTGAGTGCTGGGGCCCTCTCCCACGGAAGGGGGGAAAGCTGCTAGCTGTGGTGGAATTGCCTCAACTCAGACCTCCCAGAGGAGAGGCCCCTCAAGGCCCAAGGCGCAGAAATTCCCTCAGAGGGGAGGCCGCTCCCTCCCTCCCAGAACAGTCGTCTCTGGGAAGCCACCAGGTCTTGTCCCTCTAAGCACAGGATCTGGCACTGCCAGATCAGAGATGTACTGTAAGGTGGGTCCTGCCAGCCATGTGATCCCCAGGTGTGGACCAGTAATCCTGACATTCTTCTCCTCCTCGGCCTCCTTCAAAACATATCTTCATCCAAACGTTTTTCTGGAGCTGGCTAAAAAGTGCCCCTTCCACACGCAAACACGCTCACCGAACGAACGTACGCCCTCCTCCAGGTGTCCCACCTTGTGGCTTACCTTCACAACTGTGCTCTGGAAACTCAATCCCTTTGGCCCCTCCCTTCCTCCTGTCTTCCCCGCCAGGCTCCACATTGGGTCGCCCCTGAACGGAGGGTACCCAGTGACTCAGTGACGCGGCTCCCCACCCTGAACCCCTCTTCCGGAGCACAGGCTTTACTTCCCCTCCCCCTCTCCACCTGCGGGTGTGGGGAAGTCATTTCAGTGGCTGCGATTCTCGCTGCCCCAGCTCGGGGTCCCCAGGCCTACACTCGCCCCGGTGGTCTCGGCTCCGATGAGAAGGCTCCCTAGCGCAAGGCTGGAGAACCTATCCCTAATCACGGGCAACAGCAGGGACGCCCTCACCTCCAGGACCCGAGGCTCAAGTCCCCAGTCGGTGGCCCTTCACCGGGATCTCTCCCCTGGTCCTGGCCTCCCGCGCCAACGCCTCTAGCCGGGGAGGCGGCCAGTTCTCCCGGGCTGGGGCAGGGGGCCGCCCGGCCCAGCGGCGGCGGTGGGGAGGGTGGCCTCCCCCACTCCGGCCACCGCCCCTTACCGATGGTGGAGATGTGCGAGGAGTGGAACTCGTTGTCGGTGAAGCGGCACAGCAGGCAGGTCTTGCCCACCCCGGAGTCCCCGATCAGCAGCAACCGGAACAGCACATCGTACTGCTTCGCCATGGCTGGGGCCGGCGCGGGCCGGGGGCTGCGGGCGGGCGGCGGGCTCAGCC